TGGGCTCCAGCCCATCCAAAATTCCATCACTTGCCAATAAAAAAAAAAAAAAAAAAAAGGGAAGCTGGCAAGACTGAGCTCAGCAAGACGAGGGCTCTGTTCCAGGGACCAAGCGCTCTCTCCAAAGGCCCTGTTTTGTGTAGTCTCCCAGCTAGAGATTGGCAGGAGGAGTGGTTCAGAGCTGACTTCACAGTGGTGGCAGTGCAGAGCTGACTTCACATTGAGGCCAGACCAACAGCAGCAGAGTCAATGTCTGGAACTCGACCAGGTAGCTGCAAATCAGAACAGACTATGCTGGGGTGGACTTCACTGAACTGGAGAAGAGAAACAGAAAAGAGCCAATCCTGATGCCCCTGACTACCAGTGAGTCTATCCAAAAATCTCACTCACAGTTCTAGTTAATGAGTAAGGCTACAATTTAGTCACGGAGGTCGCTGGAAGTTATGGATTCCATGACGTCCAGTGACCTCCGTGACTTCAATGGTGGGGAGCTGCAGGGTCCCCCACCGCCCACGGGGGCCAGGAGTTGCAGGTACCCCACCACCTCTGGTGGCCCTTGGAGCCACTTGTGGCAGAGTTCCCTGCAGCTTCTGGCCGCTGCAGGGGGGTGACAGGAGGATCCTGAGCTTCACAGCTGTGGAGGAACCCCCGAGCTCCCAGCTGCCGTGGGTCCCTGAGCTGAGGGTGGTGAGGGTACCCTGCAGCTCCTGGCTGACATGGGAGCCAGGGGCACCCAACAGCTTCCTGCCCCCATGGGCAGCGGGGGACCCCTGGAGCTGCAGGCAGCAGGGGTACCTGCAGACTCCAGCTGCTGTAGGTGGCTCCTAGCCCCTGCGCAGCTGCCTCGCTTCAGGTGATGTGAGGATCCGCAGATCCCCATTTTGTCCCAGGTATTTTTAGTAGAAGTCAGGGACAGGTCACGGCTTCCATAATTTTTTCTGTTTTTGCCTGTGACCTGTCCCTGACTTCTACTAAAAATATCCGGGACAAAACCTTAGCCTTAACCATGAGGTCTAACTGGACCCACGAGGTAGGTGGAGATTGTTTTGTGACTGGACCTCAACAATTCAAATTTGAACTGTGGGATGACCATACTCCTGACCTACTGACTGGTTTTTGTTCATTTGTGTGGGGGACAGGGACATGACAGGGTGTTTCTTTTGTTTCATGTATCCCTTTTCCCCCAAATAAACAGTATTTGTGATTCCATATTCCCAAATACTCCTTAGGGCCTGTGGGTGGGGATGAACCACCTTCAAAAGTGACCAGGGAAATTAATTTTTAGTTTCCCTGGCCTGGAAGGATTACAACTCGGGGTAAGGGAGGTTCAAGACATCATTTGATATACTTTAGAAAAGGACCCCTAGACGGACTGAACCCAGCCCTTGTTGCTGCTCTTGGCATCTGGCAAAAGGGGTACATCAGGGATTCTCAAACTGGGGGTCATGATCCCTCAGGAGGTCACAAGATTATTACATGGGAGCTCACAAGCTGTCAGCCTCCACCCCAAACACCGCTTCACCTCCAGCATTTATAATAGTGTTAAATATATTTTAAAAAGTGTTTTTTAATTTATAAGTGGGGATCACACTCAGAGACTTGCTGTGTGGTCACCAGTACAAAAGTTTGAGAACTACTGTTATATTAAGTTACCACTGACTTTAAATTAAGCACACAAATAAGTTCAGAGCTGGTAACACATGGAGCAGTAGAGATGAGAGGTGCAAAAGCTGGCATAACTGCTGGGGAGGTGTTCAATATGGTGAAAACAAACATAGCAGGATGCTGGCAGAAAGGCTGAAGGGGCATGTCTTCGATGCAGGGAGGAAGGAAATGTGGCCAGCTAGGATGCATTTTGTGATGATATAAGAACATAAGAATACAGGAACTGACATACTGGATCAGACTCAAGATTAGGGCAAAGAAATCATTTAGCTTCTCAGAAATGTTCTTATCTTTCTTAATTGCTCCTTTTAAATTCTGTGGTGATCCAGAAGACCCACTGACTCTTCTGCAGACTTCTGTTTCTAATATACTTAAGAATTTCTTGCTGTCTCTTCTTATACCTTTAGCTATTTGCTCTTTGAAATCCATCTGAGCCCTCCTTATTTCTCTCTTACATGTTGCCTGGTTTTTGCTCCTGTTTTTTTACCTCACTAGGGTTAGATTTCTAAACTGAAGACTCTCTTTGGCTTATGTAACCTTTCAACCCCTGCCATTTAGCCATACTGGTTTACTTATTGCCTTCCTGGTTCCTTTCTTCTTGTGAGGTATACGTGCCTTTTGAGATCTATCATTGTTGGCTTAAGTAGCATCCCTGCCATGCTTTCCTTTACTTTTGAATTTAGGACTAATCTCTTCATTTTATTGAAGTCTCCCTTTCTGTATCACTTTTTGTAACTCACCACCAGATTGAACATACTTATAGTCCTATTGGCTACTCTCCAAGTGATTGTGTTGAAGACTGGGATAACTTATAGGATAGTAATACAAACCCCAAAAGTAACAAATTATAGGTTTAACAACCCCACTGATCACACACACACAAAACCCTACAGTGTTTAATTGTTTGTGTTAACTTTCAGAATCAAATGCTTTGCCAGCTTGGTTTTAAAACAGTATATTTTATGTTTTGATTTATTCTGAAATCATTAATTTAAATTTGTATTTTCATCTAACAAGTCTGCAGTAATTACTTATAAATAATGGAAATTATGGTAAGTCTTTATGTGGAAACTAGTAGCTGAAAGCCTGTGCAACAGGCAGTTGGGCCACAAAATCCATTTGTGCAGTCTTCCTCATACAACTACTGAAGTTGTTGCCTGTAAATTACCTGTAGAGTAAGGGTGGTGATTGGTTGAGTTACTGCCGACAGGTATCATAATAGTCTAGGACTCTTGGCATGCCTTACTATAGCTGTACACCACCCAGGTGTAAGTTGTAAAGTCAAACTGGTTGAAAGCTTAAAAATTAAAGAGTTTAAAAAATGATTGAACCTGGTGATATTCTGAACAAAGAGTACTCTCAACCATGTTTGTAGTTACTTCTATCACTTCACAGTGAATCAACAGACATTTTAGGCTTCAGCATAATACATGGAGTGATGTTCCAGGAATCTTATTATATAGATTATTGTGCAGTCCAATGAATGGCTTCCATAGGACTGCTCACAACGTGTAACTCTCTGCAGGCTTGGGACCAAGGTTTGTTTATTATCAGGTTAATCCAAAACCATTTGTGTCACAAAACCATAATTATTAAGTACACCTCTACCCCGATATAACGCGACCCGATATAACATGAATTTGGATACAATGCGGTAAAGCAGTGCTCCGGGGGAGGAGGGGGGGGGCTGCACACTTCGGCAGATCAAAGGAAGTTCAATATAACACGGTTTCACCTATAACGCAGTAAGATTTTTTGGCTCCCAAGGACAGCGTTATATCGGGGTAGAGGTGTGTGTGTGTGTATATATATATATATATATATATGATGTAAATTTCATGTATTTTCTAAGAAATATAAAAAACTATAAAGTAGAATGAAAAGCATGTAATGAATCTACTGGCTTGTTACTAGGTACCTCCCCCTGACTCTAGCTGACCTGGAGGGTCATCTAGTCAGTGGAGGCTACTGTTACCTGTTCAACATCCAGCTAGTACAGATATCTATGGTCCGTAGAGTACCAAAGAAGGAAGTAACATCCTGAGACCAGTGGGGACCTGATTCAGGAAAGAGTCAGAGGCTGAGTGGAAACAGGAGCACCAGGGGAGAAGACAAGGCAGCAAGGAGCTTAAGAGCTTGGTCTGGAAAGCTAAAAGTCAGGCAAAAACTCATGTTGTTAGCACAGTAGTGGCCATAGCAGGAAGATACAAGGCAGTGGCCAGAAGCCAGGAAAATGGTGTAGAAGGATCCTAGTAATATCCTTATCTAACTTTGTATTCCTGTAGCATGCTGCCCTTAGTGGATAAAGTTAGGAACTTAGTTTGATCCTTATTGTAATTGCTGGAGTTCTACCTTGGCTACTTGCAACTTCTATTTTTGCCAATTCTAGGTTTTTTTGTGTTACTTATTTGAAACATGAGTATTTATGGGAACCCTCACCAAGGGCTACAGCCTATACAATCTAGTGCATGGAGGACTCACAGAGCTAGTCTCCAAACTTATGGTATAATGAGCATTTAGAAGGGACTCCTATCACAGCATATCCTGCAATAAGGTTGCCAATTATTTTCTGCAATTTGGCTGTATAACTTTCTTTGTGAAAGCTCAATCACAGTTTCCATTATTTATCAGTAACTTCTGCAAACTTGTTAGATGAAAATAAAAATTGAGATGAACTATTTCAAAAAACAAAAATAGTAGATTTTTAAACAGAATTGGAAAACTTGATTTTGAATTTTAACAAAAACACAATGCTAAAGACTTCAGGGCTTTTTAATTATAACTTGTTTCTTCATTTTCCGCAAATTTCTGTTACTTGTTTTTGTAAGTGAACAACATACAGTCAAATCAGAATCTCTTAATAAAGAATTTATACAAAATGTATTTTTAGTACAACTCCTTACCTAAAAAGCAACGTCAGACACACGAAAGATTATGCTCCAATACATCTGTTAGTCTTAAAGGTGCCACAGGACTCTCTGTTGCTTTTTACAGATCCAGACTAACAGGGCTACCCCTCTGATACTCCTTACCTAAGTGGCTATTACATTCCGGAAAAGTTGCTTTACAACCCCGCCACCATTGCCCCTCTACGCAGAAAGGTTTGTAAACCAACAGCTTACTGCGAATACCTTGGACTACTTCCTCCCAGCTGTTCTACACATCTGGCCACAGCTGTTTTATTTCAGAATGGAGCTGTGTGGGGGCGGATCTGCAGCCTCCTCTCTCCCTTCTATTGGCTCAGCCTTATGGGACTCTCCGGACTTGCTGGCATTTCATTGGCCTGGCTTGCCCCCTTCCCCCTGAGCTAATTGGAGGAGCCGGGATGGAGGGGACGGAATCCCCTTTGGTTTATTGGGAGGGGGAGCGGAGTCATACCCGGTCACCTGCAGCTCGGGCAGCTGTTGTGTCTCCGGCGCCTCACCCCCGCCTCTCGCTGCTACTGGGGGGCTCCGCTGGGGGGAGCTGGAGCTGCCGGGCCCGCCGCTGTCAGGGGAAATGGCCAAAGAAAAGCGACACACACAAAGAACATGGCGAGGGAAGGAGGAGTCTGAGCCGACGGCAGCTGCGCTCCCCCGCCCGAAGGACGCTCCGGGGAGGGAGGACAATGCCCAGCCCACTCTGGCCCAGCTGCCGCCCGGCTCCCGGGGGAGGGGGGCTGTTTTCCCAGGGCTGGGCGCCCCTGGTGTCTCCGGTAAGTGGCTCCCACTCCTCTCCTTCCCCCGGGGGGAGACCTCGCCGCAGTGCGCCCCAAAGCCGAGCAGCCCCCCTGCCTGCGGGAACTTTGCCGGAGCCGGGAACTTTGCCGGGGGCTTGGGCTGCAGCCCGCCGGGAGCTGGCCCAGGTAGGGAGAGGGGGCGCTGCTCGCTCCTCTAGACCTGTCCCGGGCGTGTTGCTGCTCGGGGAGGGCGGGCAGGCGCGCCCCGGACCTGCCCTGGCCGGGAGCAGGCACCAGTCCCGCCAGCCCGCGCTGGGACTTGCCCTGAGAGGCGTTTCCTGGGGGCGGCGGCCTCTTCCCCCGCCCTTGGCCGGTGCTCTCCCACCTGAGGCGGGCGGCTCTGGCCGTGAGAGCTCCGCTTGGGTGACCAGCCTCCCTCGGGGAGGGGGCAGCGGAGCCGCCGCTCGCGAAACTGCAGCCGGGAAAGCGGCGGCGGCGCTTGGGAACTTTTCTACAGGGTGTTCGCAACTTGTCTGAAATGCGGCTGGGCTCGGGGGCGGCAGGGCTTCTCGGATCCCCCTCTCGGGTCTGGACTGCCGGTGGCCCGGGCTGCTTCCCTGCCGGGCCGCTTCTCTGCAGCCCCGCCGGGCAGAGCAGCGGGGGCGAACCCCAGAGGTAGGAGCAACCTGTCTGCTGGGTCTCACCTGTTGTGTTTTGGTTCCAGCCCGCCCCACGCTGTAACAAACTACTCGCAAGTGCTACTGAACAGGACGAGCTGGAGTGAGATCTGCAGCGACTGGTACTTTAACCCACCCTCGCCTGCTTTTTGCCCCCAGCCCTGGCTTACTTTGCACTGCATACAGGAATTTTCAGTTTTCTGGCAGGAACAAAAACGGGAGCAGGTAGAAAGAAATTACATGTAGCAACTATATTTTGAACTCCAATGTCCTTTGATGCCTGACACATCGACATTACTATATCGTTATAATTAGCTGAACGTGAGCTTAAGGAAGGCTTGAAAACAATTTGAAGAGGTGCTTAAAATGATTGCATAATTTCAGTCTTAAGGATATCTGACATCTGCATACTTGTGTTTTGTAACTTTAATTATGGCTAGTATTTATGTGCGTTAAACATAGCTTTACTAAAATATGACCAAACTTTAAATCATCTGTGGCTTTGATCCTCTGGCATACCATAGTAACATAGTCTTAACAGATGTTAGTTTGTGTGGATAACTATCCAGAAGAAAAATATTCTAACCATGTCTCATTTAAAACAATTAAAAGTTAGATTATTTTTTTTAAAAATTATGAGAGTGGGCATGCACAGTCAACATCAGTGTGCAAAAAAAATCTCAAGATAAACAACATCAGATCTCTAACTCTGGAAAGTCTTTTCTTACATTTTCAAAGTAATTCTACTTGTATATATTTACTTCAAAATTTAATACTTCTGTCATGTGATTGTTGACCATATAAAGTAATCTTGACTGTTCTCAAGCCCTCTGGAGTGTTTTCTTTTTTGTCAGATTAATATGTGCAGCAACATCCTTTCTTCAAATCCATTATTCATATTTGGAGTTAAAACATGCCTGTGGAGGAATGTGTAATGCATCACTATGTAGTTCTATCAAGTACCATTACAGAAAACTGTATCCCTTTTTAATTACAGAAAAAGTGAATCTGCATTGTCTCCCTCTGTCCTCCCCTCACTCACCCATAAAAATCTTTAATATATTTTAACTTTATTTTGAAGGTCTTGTTGATGAAAACTGGCATTGATATGATTGTTTGTTTTTGTGAGAGTAGTTTCCTGAGATTAATCAGGGTTTGTGTCCCATTATGCTTGTACAAATATATAAAGACCTACAATTTCAAAAATTACCAGTGATTTTGGGTATCCAATTTGAGATGCCATTAGAGGCCTGATTTTTCAGAAAGTATTGAACCAGTATCCACTGAAAATCCCGCTTTAAGATGTTCCCAGAATCTCTAGCCACTAAAAATTTACCGGAAGATAAGTGACAGTGAAGAGGCAAAATAAAATACATATGTGATCTTTTAAAATCATTATTATTATTATTATTGTGGTCACAGTCTCTTTATGAAAGTTATGTTCAAGAGTTACAGCCACGTAATGTACTCAGTTGTGTTCTCAGAAAACCTCTTCATTCTAATGTTGTAATGTACTAGGCTTTCATCCTGTGAAACAAACTGTTTTTCCCTTGTGGGTTAGAATGAAATGAAAAAAGGGTGTCTCAGTGTACTTGATTAAACACAACTAATCAAAGACAGCTTAGACGTATTAAAGCCAACAATATAAATACTAATTAATTTATAGAAAATAAGTTATCTATCCTGTATGTGCATACATAAATTTAGGTTGTGTACAACTTAAATGTAAAGATGACATTACTGATTTAGAGGGTGCCATTACACATTGACCAAACTTAAGAAGAATATCTCTTTAAAATGTGTTGACATTTAATTGACCTTTTAAAGTTCATTCTGTTAATCATACTCAAAGCGCTAAAGCTATGGTTGACTGCTCTGGTGTTCTTACATTCAGTCGTGCTCAGCATATAAATTCTACAGCATAATTGCTACTTATTGAGTAAGAGTTTCTTTTCTTCTCTGAAAATGAGAAAGTTTTACTTTGCCTCAGGCTGGGTACTTGTTGTAGAGTTTTGATTCAAAATTCTTTCATGTCATTAATTGTTGTGTGGGGTGTGGCCTCTAGTTAGAGAGTAATGGAAATTCTTGTCTCCTTAAACTGCATTTTTTTCTCTTTCCTGAAGCATTTTCAAATAGGGAAAGGTAACCTTGAAAGGTTTGAAGGTTATATTTGTCTAGCACAAATTAAAATGCGGGGCTTCAATATTTTCTCTGTGAACCTTTACTTTAGTATCTTTTTAAAGTAAAATCTAGTTGTCTTAATACTAACATTCTGAATATAAAAGATTGTTTTGGAAAAAAAACTTAAATCTAAATGCTAATAGTTGTATGTGGGAGAAAACTCTTACTACTGCATTATGGTTCTTAGTCACAGGACTCTTTTAACCAAAAATTGTATAGATACTCAAAATAGCAATATTATTGAGAGGCTGCTAGTAAGGGATCTAATTGAGGATTAATTTCTGTTACATCTATGTTCTAAAGGCCAGATTTGTAACCGAGGTAATATCTCCTGCTGTGTATCTTAGCATTTCTGGGATTTTTGTGTAGTTTGTAGATTAGAATTAAATTTTGTTTTCTTGTGTATCAGTTTTACAAGTAATCTTTCTTTTTGGAAAGTAAGGAAAGCATTTAAATGCAGACAATGAAATCTAATACCTGTAGGTCCTAAGATCAATAGCCTTTCATCTCTTGGACACTACCATTGAAAATTAACTGATTCATTAATTAAATGTATGACTACTTAAAAAGATTGGGCTCCAAAAGAGAGTAGTGATTGTTTGGATTTCTAAACTATTTTCTTGACGCTGAAGAAAGCAAAACCTAGAACACTCAATCCTGAATAGAATGCGTGCAATGCAAAATCAGAAATTGTTTTTCAAGCTCGTTCTTAAGTCTTGATCTTGCTACGGCACGGATGCAGTCAGACTCCTGCCTACTTCACTCTGTGCGGGGACTCTCCTTGGAAAAGAGGATCAACACACACGAGATGTATTTAAAAAAAATACCTTACAGATCAGAAAGTTCTGATAGGTAATGAATTTACCACATCGCTAGTGATCTAGGTCAAACACTAAAATAAAACTATACCGTGTCTATATATTGGTGAAGTTGATGAAATAAATTGACAAAATCCCCAAGTAACTTAGTTTAATCATGTTGGTGTCTATGGAAAGATGAGCTAAAATTCTCTGTGTATTCCATAGCTGATATACTTTCATTTTGTAGTACTCCTGGATTATACAAATGCAGCTAAGGAGGATGATCCTGCAATCCTCACTGTGAGGCTGATGTGAGCTTTGGCAGAATAAGGACTGTAGTATCAGGCCAAAACTAATATAAATTTCACTGAAGTATGTAAGGTTGTGTAATTGGAGTAAAGTCATATTTCTCAGGAGGGCCTCCTGTTGAATAAACGGTTTAAAAATAATTCCTAACACTTCATGCTCTGCCTGGGTTAAAAAGTTTCTAGTACAAGATGGAAAATGGCAATATGTACCACATTTTCCTATGCCTGAGGATAGTAGTCTTTCCATGCAAACGGCAGGAGATTTGCAAGATATGCAAGTGATAAAATTTTGACTGACTGACAGGTATTTCCTCAAAATAGAAGTGAATATGTCTTAGTGCCCTGTTCTGTTTTTTTAACCAAAACACCAATCAGACCTATGTTGATTGTGTGTCTAACAAAAATCTTTTAAAATCATTTACTGTCAAAGCCTCTGACTACTATTGTTGGGAGATAATATTATGGGGTGATTTTGTGAGCTACCTTTTGGGAATTAGGTGAAACTAACAAACTCCTCTCTCTAGAATTCACACCCTGGTAATCCTGACTGCAGGGCTGTGCAGACAAGCGCTTAATGAGGAAAACCCTCTATCAATTACTTAATATATACTGGTAACAGTTACATTAGAAAAGGGTTTCATTGGCTTTTTAAATGGTACTAATTTTTTTGCATTTAGATCACCCTTTCAACCAAGGATCTGGAAGCACTCTTACCAAGTGAGCATTATTGACTTGGACTTAGGAAACTTGGGTTCAATTCTTGATTCAGGCACAGATTCTTTCTGTGACCTAGGAGAAGTCTCACTTAACACAGTGGTTCTCAACCTTTCCAGACTACTGTACCCCTTTCAGGAGTCTGATTTGGCTTGTGTAACCCAAGTTTCACCTCACTTAAAAACTACTTGCTTACAAAATCAGACATAAAACTATAAAAGTGTCACTGCACACTATTACTGGAAAATTACTTACTTTATCATTTTGCCTGTATGAAATGTTTGAGTTGATGTACACCATGGAAGACCTCTGTGTACCCCAGTGGAGAACCACTGACTTAACCTACCTTGTACCTCAGTTTCATGTCTGTAAAATGGAGATGATACTTTACTACACCACTGCGGTGTTTGGAGCACAAATCCATTAATAACATCAGGTACTCAGATACTATTGTGATGAGGGCCATATATAGATCGTAAGCACTTTGGGGAAGGGAACAGGGTCAAGGTTTCCAAAGCCAACTAGTACACTCCACCACACAACACACAATTTCAAAGTGAGGCCAAATCCCTTAGTTGGCTTCGGAAATCTCCACACTTCTTATGCATTTGTATGGCATTTAGAGCTCAAAGGGCCCCTTTTGTATTGTTATAATATTAACTCACTGGCAAAGTCAGGAAAAGAACATGGGTCTCTTGACCCTGCCTTTCCCAGCTCTAATCATTGAGCCATTGTTCTGCTATTCAACAACAAAACACTGTTCTTATGTCATCCTTCATAATTCTTTATCACGTTACTATAATAGATCTAAAATAGCACGTTATAACTAGGGGGGAAAGGGTTGGAATAAGAAGAGAAGAAATAAACAAGATAATTCTGACCTCCAGTGACTGGCTAAGAACATGACATAAAAAAATGGAGGCTCACTTGATCTTTTCACTCACCCCTTCCTGGTTTAAAACTCCAATGTGTTGGTACTGGGGGAAATGTGAGAGATGCATACTAGCTAGTGCCCAACTATGGCTTATTTAAGTGGCCTATTTAAATAGCTAACCCTCTTTACCTAAGTTACTTGGTCTAATAGGGATCTTTTAACTGGTGCTTTTTTTTCTTTTTTCTTTTTTTTTATAAACAGATAACTTTGACTCAGTTACATTTTCCTCTACCTCTAGAAAAGCTGTAAGAAGTAACTCTTTAATCAGTAATTGCACTGGAGGTAATAGGAACTTAAAGGTATAACATTAACAGGATTTCAGGTCCATGACCCTGGCAATAAATGTCAACACTTTATCCCCTGGGTCACGGTATTTAATTACCAACCATGGGAACATACAGGTGTTAACTGGCTTATAGGTGTTCTCCTCTTCACCCTGCTCGCCTCAATGCAATATTGATACCCAGGAACAGGGAATCCTTCGTAAATCAACTGAGGGCTAGAATTCAAGCAGGTTTGGCCCGCAGTGAATACACCACTCTATATTTGATGACAATTAGAGTTCATTTACTATGCTTTGTGCTTCTTTAAGGACAAGAATGTTTCCTTATTTTAGCTATACACTTCCCTATGAACAAGCGTCTTATAAAACCATTTTAATATGTGGTGGTAGTGATTATAGTTTGTGCAGAACACTCAGAAAATAGCTGAATTGCTTTGTCAGTGCAATGCCCAAGATTTCCTATTATGTGTGGCACAGACTGGTACATAAATACCATGGATGTGAAGTTAGCAACCAGCTAATACATTGTACTACTTTTTTAGTGAGAAAACTTTGACTAAAGGCATTCGTTCAAAATCCTGCTCTTACAAAAGTGCTATGGGATCTGTGAAATCTCCACAGATCTCTGCTTAAGATCTTGACTAAAAAACCTCTGTACAGTAAAAGAGTGGAAGTCAGCTTATCAACAGCTAGTTATTTGAGACTACGTAGACCCTGCCATGATTTGAGCTAATTGTTCCTAGGTGTCTAGGCATTCCTGTTCTCTGTTTCTGCACAGGAAGAGTGGCAAGGGAGAGGAAAAGGTGCTTTACACCACTTTGTGTTCTCTCTCTTCATGGGGCAGCCAGGGGCCTGCCTGATGCAAATTTAGAGTTGTCTCCAGGCGGTGGGAAGCCAAAACTAGTTTAAGCACGGGTCACTCTGTAGTTGCCCGCTCCCTACCCTGGAATGCTACTAAGCGGGGGCTGACATCATTGTGGCAGCTTTACGCCATCTAGGGAGTTCATTGAGTACACCTAGGGGCTACCTTTTGCCTCATTAAAGGCTCTTATCTTATGGCCCCCGTTACTGGAGTATCTGAACACTTCACAATCTTAAATATATTTAGCCTTCCAACAGCCCTGTGAGGTAGGGATGTACCATCCCCAGTTTGAAGATAGGCTTCTGTGCTTCGCTTACTTCCCCAAATGACTTGCCCACTGTCATACACGAAGTCTGGTGGAACGATGACTTGCACCAGTATCTCTCCAATCACTAACCCCCCCACTTCGGACTAAGGTACGCAAATTCAGCTACGTTAATAACGTAGCTGAATTCGAAATACCTTAGTCCGAACTTACCGCGGTCCAGACGCGGCAGGAAGGCTCCCCCGTCGATGCTGCGTACTCCGGTCGCCGAGCTGGAGTACCAGCGTCGACGGCGAGCACTTCCGGGATAGATCCGGGGCACTTCCGGGATCGATCTGGGATCGATTTATCGCGTCTTAACCAGACGCGATAAATCGAACTCAGAACATCGATTGCTTACATCCGGACCCGGATGTAAGTGTAGACGTACCCATAAGTTAGTGCTCTAGCCACTAGATCTTTTTCTCTGGCAGAGTGGCGTAAAGGAGTCTTAGGCCTCAGTTTTCTTCTACACTAGGTATGTCAATATTAAACCATACCTAGGGCTTGAAATAGTCACTTGACACTTACCTGCCAGAGTGAAAAATATCTGCACCCCACCCCCATCCCTGAAATCTAAAAGAATAAAACAATTTTGTACTGTTCATGTGTTCTGTAATGAACTGTAGACATTGCCAATCAAATTTACTATTTAATTTTAACTTACTGATAGGGCTGATCAAATAGCAGAAAAAATATTTATTGAATATATTCAGTGAATTTCATCTATATTCATCTAATGCAGGGGTTTGCGGCTTGTTCAGGGCAAGCCCCTGGCAGGCCGCAAGACACTTTGTTTACCTGAGCGTCCACAGGTACGGCCGCTTGCAACTCCCAGTGGCTGCGGTTCGCTGTTCACAGCCAATGGGAGCTGTGGGAAGCGGTGCAGACCGGTAAACAAAGTGTCTCGCGGCCTGCCAGGGGCTTACCCTGAACAAGCCACGAACCAAGTTTGGGAACCCCTGATCTAATGTATTTTCTGTATAGCATTTGCTCACCTAGAGCTGCCTGTGTTTTACAAAAAGTATTTGTTATATAAAGTATTCACTGAATATTGGTGAAATTTGTAAAATATATTTCAGTGCTATTTAACGTCATACTTCCTGCATTTCTCTTGCTTTTGTTGTATGGTTCACAGTGGATAATCCTGAGCGGTCTTGTTTCTCCCTTTTCTTCTTTCCTTCTATCACCTTTTTTATTCTTTGGCCCTATACTGTGTTTTCTCTGCTGTCATCTTTTCCTAAAAACTCTCTCCTCCTCCTTCTCTTGTTCCCATACTTTTCTGTTCTAACTTCCTCCCTCATATGTCTATCCAGGCTCCTGTAGGACCTGGAAATTTTTACCTGACCCTAATAACCAGAGAAAAAACTTACTGGCCACTCCCTAGGGACAAATACCTATATAGGAGGGAGTTGAGATTCTTCTGACTAGAGATCTTGAACTCCCCTCGGGTGGCTCCATCTTTTGTATGAAACTCTTGCTAGTAGGTGGCTGAAACTCAAAGTAGCTCTCTCTGCCTCTTCTCTGGCTTTTAGAAGAAATAAGCAATATTCCAGCTGTCCATGCTCCCATCTCAGAGCCTCTCAGCGGTTTCAACAGTTGTTGGGGCTTCTTCTGCTACTTTACCCCTTCCCCAGGTTCCTGGTTAGAGCTGGTCAGGAATTTTTGGATGAAACTTTTTCACTGTAGAAAAATGCCAGTTCATTGAAGCAAAACCTTTTCATGGGAAGATTGGTTTTGACCAAAAAAAAAACTTACATTTTTTTGATACTTGAAATGTAAATTTTTTTTTTTGTTAGGAATTACTTTTCATTTTTTTTTGTTTTTACACTGTTGAGTAACTTAAATTTTGAAACAAAAAAGTTTAAAATCAAAACATGTTTTGAAATTCATAATGTTTCAGTTGACCCGAACCAGTTTTTTGGGGGGCTTTTCCGTGTGTGAAAATTTGAAATTTCAGCTCTTCGTCTGATGAAGACTTTTTGAAATTGTGAAAACTGTTTCCTGCCCCGCTGTACTCGTATTTGCTGCAATAGAGGCATGTATCTTTGCTACTCTTACCTTCCTCAAGTGTCTGGTTTTTGGATCTGCCTCCTCTTGTTGCTGCTCCAGGCTGTCTTGAACAGCAGTAGAATGAAATTGACTTGATTCTTGTCACTTTAAATGCTGCTTTTAGGAATCTGGAAAAAACAACTCTGAAAATATAGTGGTCGGTTTTCACTCACTGCAGCCAGGGACAGCTCTGAGCAGCAGGAGAAGCCCTGGAACTACCTGTCTGCAAGCTTAGTAACAAAGCATTTCATTAATTTATCCCAGGTTTGCATTTGGAAGGCTTTATTTTCAATCATAAGGGCTAGAAACTTAATTCTTCAAAAATCGAAGCTTAGTTTCTGCAGAAAATGACATTGGGAAAGCTTTCTATTTGCTGTGGGCCAGTGGGTTTTTTTCCAACCCTGACTACTCTTCTCAACTGTCTGAAGCCCAAATGTGGGATGCTGTGGGCTGAAGACACAGAAGGAGGGATGTAAGAAAAGTAGAAAGGAAAGCTTAAAATAAAGTGAGCTCAATTCTCAAAGATATTTTCCATAACTTCAGTATCATGGTTAGTGCTTCTGATGTAAATAATTTACATTAATGAAATTAGGTTAATGTGGAAAAAGAAATAAACTTAACGTATATAATCCTGCAGTGCCTGTACTTTTTTTTTCTCACTGCTTCTCTGTTCAGTTTTAGGCTCTGTCTATGCTGCAAGCAAAGGGTGTGTGATTCCCCTGCTTGTGTACGCATATTCACTAGCTCAATGAGCGCTACTGTGCAAGTGTAAAGAGCAATGTAGCAGTTGTACTGCTGTTGGCTGCTGCCGAGGTACGGCTGAGCCTAAAACTGGTAGGTATGTACTCGGCACGGCTTAGCCACCACTGCTGCCAACAGTGCTACCATGGCTACACTGCTGTTTATACTCCCGCTGGGTTGATGAAAGCTACTGTGAGTATGTGTACACAGATGGGGAGTCACACCTCTAGCTTACAGTGTAGACAGATTTCAAAGCAAAAGACTACAAGTTACTGGGGCAGATGGCAAATCTGGGAAACCCGTATCTATCTTTAGTTGATTTACAGAAAAAGCTATGCAAGGTACTCAGTACTGGCATTTCAGTAATTGTGTTCCTTCTCTTTGTAACAGTTCCACCAGAAGTACTGAAGATAGGATCCAGCTGCTGAGTGTGCAACTTCAGGAATAACCTTTTCCCCACTCCAAACTACTAGCCACAGCAACTTGCTATTTCACATTACCACATGAAAATTGCATCCACTTCATTGTTGATGCTTCTGTCACAGATCATAGATGCAGAGTGAGTTTACCTGGAAACCTCTTGAGTGTCTAGGAACCTTTATGTATAAATTTCCTAAAAATATGAATTGATAGGTTTTCTTAGCAGGTATTGGCACTAGGTCTGTGTGGTATTATCACTTACTTTAGTCCTGTGCCCCATAGGGTCTTGTAAGCTTTCTGAAATGGTCCCAAAAACTGTTTCTACACAAGCAGTTCAACTTTTTTCAACACCTGCTGAAGGAGGCCAGGGGAGGCAGTTTTGGACAACCATTATCAGCCAATAAGTCATATTCCTAGTGTAGTTTTCTAAAATGTAGAACAGTAAAGTGACACTTGCTCTCCAATCCAACTATTTGACTTGAAACTTTTTTTAATTTACTTCTAGAAAACAGTGTTAATGATGGGAGCCAGATGATATGAAATGCTAACTGAGCTTCTTTAATTACAATAATCCATTCAACTAATTTTTGTAAATGTATAATACAGTTCATGTCTTGAATTTCCAGGAATCTTCTCTTAATGGCCAGGCAGTGTGGTGGTCCCTGGTTCAGTGTGCAGCTTACATAAATTATAATGGAAGTTGAAATAGGAAGAATTGGGCCCAACAAGTAAGTTCCTGGGTTTTTCCTCCCCAAATATTTCCACATGGAGACTGTTTTAATACTTGTATATAACTCAATATATTATTCATCCTCCTAAATAAACCACATTAAAAAGTGAAACTTACATCAGACAATATCGGGAGGCATCTGACATAAAGCACTAAGTGTTGTTCAAGCTGTATTTTGGGAAACTGATAAATCTTTCCTATTAAGATGTCCGAACTGTCACTTTACCAAAGTGAGATGGAAAATACTGTGCTGAATTTCACCTGTCTGTCTGCAACTGCACTCATGTTTGCTCAATGCATTGGAATCTGCATATCAACTCACAGCTCTAAAATATTGAGTCAAAGGCTTTGCAGAACAGGCACAAACAGCTTTTATTCCCAACTCTGAGATATCAACAAACAGTGCAGCTCTTAGTCCACTTTATTATAGAAAAAGTGAACGCCAAATTAAGTTGTAATTTCTCACTTATCCCTGCCTGTACTCTATGTGATAGAAATGGAAAGATGAAGAACTTTGGATTAATGTTAAATATGAGAACAAAGTCTCTGCCCAGATAAGTTGTAATAAGTAGACAACATACAGTTGGGGAATGGGTCGCAACATGCGAAGGAGTGACTTTTTTTTTTTATCATGGGTCTTGTACATTCCCCATGTTTTGGTTTGTATGATTTATTTTGTTAGCATTTTGACATTAGATTAATTTAACTGAAGGACTAGAATTTACCTTTATGCATTTGCCTGTGTCATTCTGTCCATGTTTCAGGTGGTGGAAAAGTGGAGCCATTTTAGTTGCCCAGCTAACTTTTTCAATTGTAGCATGAGTTTAATTTGAGTGACAGTTTTGTCGCCCTTTTTAAATACCGATTCTCTCTTGCCCTTCTATAGTGCCTTCACCAGATAATTCATATAATTTTTATTTGACATTCTGTGAAAAACTCAATGGGCTTATGACCAAAATTTGCTTAGTTACACTACCACTGATAACATGGAAAGTTATCATGCTAAGATGTGAACATAAAGGCACAAGTTTATGAAAACCATCCCAAAAGTGTATTAGCCTGTTGGAACACTCTTTAATTTCTCAAGTCATAGTCGTTCAAAATCTCTGCATCTACACCACTAATACATAAAATGCTTTAATTACCTGATATTTCTGTCTTTAACACATTTTATTTAATGTTTTAAATGTTACATTATCCTGCTAAATGAATTACTTTATAGTATACAAATTGTGCACAATACAAATTGGAAAATCATCATATAGTGGAAACACCTAATCTTAAATTATCTTGTATAAATGGCCCTTACCTTACTGGTAAAACTGTCTAGCATTTTAGATGTGACCTTGCTTTGATTTTCATATAGATCTAATCTGTTTATCTTGCAATAGCTGAAAGGGAACCATACATGAGGAAAATGATATCGTGTATTGTTGTGACACAGTGTCCTTCATCTAATAAATTCAAACAACTAAGATCTTGTTAGTCTCTCTCTTCCCTTCCCCCACACTTTTCCTATTAATGAATTGTAGATATTAGATTAGCCTTTCATCTGTCAATTTATTAATCTTCAGTTTGTGACAAGGTATAATTAAACTGAAATCTTTGCCCTCTGCTATCACTGAATTATATCTAGTTCTGCACTCAGTGTGCATTGTGTTGCACGGTGTGTGTTCACTTGTTTTCTGCTTGGATTACATTTTACAAGAGTTTTAAGAGTTGATAATCAAGGAAATATTTTCTTAACCTTTGTTTTGCTGTTTAGACTCTACAAAGGGATTTATTAAGTAATTCTATCCGTAACTCGCTGAAGTGGGCATCTTAGTGAGAATTTCACGAAGTTAGTCTCAGTCATTCTGCTATGTAGAGGGAGGATCAATCTCTCTGGTCTGGAGTGTACGGCTGCCAAGTGCTAAGAATTCCTGGAATGTAGAATTGCCACAGCGCTAATAAAGTTTGCTTTGTTCCCTTAGTGACTTGACCCATTGAGGAAAATGTGGTTCCCTAGCAAGTTTTAATAGCTCAAAGTTGGTAGTGAATAAAGGGAAAGACCTCAACATAATTGTGCTTGTTTTCACCTGCTGCCTGGAAGATTAACTTTCTTAACCTTAGTGTAGAAAATATAACCCCTGTGTCTTTGAAATAATGATTTATGAGGATTCTTCACTTTTTTTTGTATAAATACCATAGATTTCTGCATTCCAAGCAGCTATATTCTTCCCATAAACTAGTTAGTTTGCTATATGATAACTTCATTTTAAGGCAAGTTCCAAGGAAAATCATTTTCTACTTATGCCACTTTAATCACTTAACTGATTCTCTATGGTTTTGAATTAATTTGGAAAAATAGTTGAATTCTTAATCTTCAATTTCCCCCTTCATTATCTTCATAAGAAAACAGGAGTTAGGATGAAGAAACAACTGCAAAACTGCACCACTGAGACTCGTTATGTCAGATGTTGTTGTGTTTTTTGTTCTGTGGTAAATACTGTAATTCTAATAACTCTGTGTGATGTAATGGCAACTGGTTATCCAAAATAGAAAATTAGTAAAGTTTTATTACTCATTTAAACTTTACATAAGCTTTCACAGAGCATGCTAACGCCCTCCCCCACGCCCAATTATCTTCTGCAGTCATTCTGGAGCAAAGGTTGGATAAGTTAATTTTAAGATCACATAGCTTCCCCCATTCCTCTTTGCAGAAAGGAAGAAAGCCAATCCCATCACTATATTAAAACAGTCTTAAAATTAGATCTTCTGTTTCAGTGGATAATAAAAGATCTGTCACTATATTTACTGATAAGTTTGTTACTGATAAGTGAATTTAGTAGATTGCATAGTAATGCAATAATAAACACCACCATGACTGTTCTATTAGTGTCTTGGAGGCACAAATAAGTTGCAACAGAGCATGCAAGTCACTTCTTCCATAAATCTTTACTGTAATTCTACACCATAAGTAAAACAGACATATTTCAATTATATAACATTTGAGTATTAACTATACCTATGTTTCAAACTATTCCACTAGAAGTCATAAGTTATCTTATTAATAAAAACGTGTGAAAACAGGCTACTTTATACATTTGCATGTAGCAAGATGGCAACATGGAGAGAGGTTGTACCAGTCTTCTTAAGCAACTTGCTTGGATCCTCCTGTTGGTTAATAATGTGACGTAAACAGCTAAAGAATGTGTATTGCTGTTGACAGTGAGCGACTGTAAACATCCTCGACTGGAAGCTGTGAAGCAGCAGATGGGGCTTTCAGTCGGATGTTTGCAGCTGCCAACTGCCACAGACTTCAAGAAATGTTTGACACCTAAGCATAGTAGTCTTTTAAAACTTCTAGTGTGCTAGGTTTCTGTCTGTTTCAGAGACATGGAATTAAAACAGTAAGAGTGGAAATGTTTGACTTCTAATGTATCTTGAAATGTCTCTATATTAAATATCTAGTAATAGTTCATAGGGTTTTTTTGAGGGAATGATGTGAAATGTAAACAAGTAAAATCTTAGAGGGATGAAACAGGAATTCCTGGAACACTGAACTATTATAGTGAAGGTGAGATCTTTGACTTAGAAAAATGCTTGCTCAACTTTGTGTTAAGCTAAAAGTAGGCTTCATACAGCTAAGTGTTTATGCTGTATGGCTCATATATCAGGTCCCACTAAACTTTATAAGAGGAGTCTGTGTATTTAGCTTATCTTTTGATAGTTCATATAGAATTTCAAATGACGCCTTTTAGGAAACTAAGTGAAGCCTGCAAGATTTCAAAAGGGAGAAATATACCAGCTGTAACAGTAAAGTAAGAATTCAAAACTCAGCATTCTTGGAGAAGAACAACATTTTTAACAAAATAGGGGGGAAATGGCAGCATTTCACTGGACTGGTTTTTGTGGCTCATATACCATGTTGTGTCTCATATATAGATATTTTAAAAAAATAAAATCTAATGATATTTCTTCCCCTTCCCCCAAAACAAACAAAAAGTCAACTAATTGGACTCCCCCAAAACAAACTGGCTTTAAGACAATTATAGCCCCTGATCTTGCAGACTTCTCTGTGCTTGTGGATCCCTGTGTTTGCATAAAGCTCCAGAGGTTCAGCTGCACAAAACAGTTTGCAGAATTGGGGTTATAGTTAGCGAAGTCATAACTTCATCATAGGCAAGAAAGGAAAAATAAAACTGGGTCAGAAGCTCATTCTTAATTGAAATTGATAGGAAAAGCACTTAAATTTTAAGATGAGATATGCAAAATATATCTGTGTATTAAATTAGTTTAGATAAACATAGTTCGGTTTTAACGCATCTTCCTTTTGTCAGTTTCCTTTCTCAGAAGAAAATATGTATGTTTTAGTATACTTCACTATATATTTATGTAAAAATAAATGACCAAGAAGACATTTGAACCCTACTATAGCTCTGTGTTATAAAGGAGTTAATATTTCTGGACGCGATACTCATATTGACATACTTATTCAAACCAGAAGCAGTGCTAGCCCTTTGGGGGCCCTAAGCAGGAATACACACAACACACATTTAAAAAAGCAAATAGGGGGTCCTACGCAATTGCTTTGTCTGCTTATGCCTAGCGCCAGCACTGATTCAAAGCCATATCTCTGAGGTCAAGGAAGTGTGATCTATATTTGACACAACGTCACTAATCCATGCTTTAGCACACAGCTTTAATGTAGATTTGCAGGCTTGCTGTTCATTCAGTTTGTTTTATTTTGTATTTCAGTAGTGCTTGGAGGCTCCAATCAGGATCAGTGCTGTACAGTGTACAGGGAGCTCTTCAGGACTGAGATTCCAATCTAATTTTAAGACAAACTGCAACAAAGATAATTGGAGGGAGAGAGAGAGGTTAACCATAAGAACACATTGCATAAATTAGCTGTCTGCATTACATTAGATGGCTTTGAGTTGTCCGTCTTTTTGTTCTCTTATTATTAATTATAAACAAAATAGGATGGATAATCCCTGCTAGCCATCTACCTAG